GTTTTTGAGTAAAATAAGTATTGTATAACAGTTAAATTTTTTTAATCAAATAGTAAAAAATGGATTAAAAATATGTCCCAACTTTTTTTCTCATGAAGAAAAAGTGAATAGGAAAAGTTCGAAGTAACATATTTTTTTACCTAAAATTTATTTTCAAATATGAATAAACATTCTACTTATTTCGATACTAAACTAGTACATTTAAGTGCAATACTTAAAAGTTGTTTCTAAATAAGCATTTAAATAATTTTTGACATTTTAACATATGCATCTAAAGTACATTGATATATATGTAAAATATAGTAGTGTAATGGTTAAGATTATTGTATTATATATAAAAGTTATGAGTTCAAATATCATTTAAAATGTATAATTAAATATTTTGTAAATGTATTATAAACTGATAGTAACTAACTGATAATGCTTGCCTTAGTAAAATTATAACATTATTTAGGAGTGTGTTGGATTGACTATAGTGACGAAGTTAAACTCCCCTTAATAAATCATGATATATCTAAATAAAAGAAAATTTCAATTATAGTTACTTTCTTTTAGTTGGAATAGTGACAACGAATCGAATTAAAAAATCAAACTAAAACATTTTCTTAAGCCAAAAAAAAGCATATATATTTATGGAAAAATTATTATGAATGTCAAAAATATATTATTTCATATTAACATTTTCTTAAAGCATGAGAGTAGATTCTTGACAACATTTTTAATTATTAGTGTTATTATTATTTTTTTTATCTTTATAGTTTTAGTTAAACTACTATTATATTAATGAGACTCAATTTTGATTGTTAATCTAGTGGTTATATGTCGCCTGAATACGGTTTATATGGAAAATTCTCGGAGAAGTCGGATGTTTTTAGTTTTGGAGTATTGTTGATAGAAATTATGAGTGGAAAGAGAAACATTAATTTTCATTGTGAAAATCTCTCTCAAATTCTTCAAATATGGGTAAGTTATTTCTTCTTATTTATCTTCTCTTCAAGTATTATTTTGTTAAAAGCTTATATTTATGATCAATAATTACATTAATAAATTTTTAATTTTTGAATTTAATTATTTTTAATACACAATTTAGGCATGGAATGAGTGGAAAAATGGTAAAACATTGGAGATAATAGATTCATCAATACGTGATACATGTCCTGTTCAACAAGCTGAAAGATATATCCATATTGGATTATTGTGCGTTCAAGAAGCACCAATTGATCGACCAACTATGTCTTCGGTAATTGTGATGTTAGGAAATAAGACTATACCACTTCCATCTCCTAAAGAACCTGCCTTTTGGATGAACAATGGTAATACAAGTCTTCATCAATCTCTCCATTCTCTTTCCTACAATGAGATGACAATAACTTGGTCAGAAGTTCGATAGTGAACAAATGTAAAATAATTTACTTTTAAATTATAGTAGTAGTAAGATAAAAGATTATTATAATATTAGTTTTTGTAATTTAATAGAATTTTGCATGATATATAAATGACAAAAACTGTATGTATATGTATATTATATAGGTGGATATTTATCCTCTTATTGAATCTCAATACTTTTTCTTTTTTTGAAAATATTCATTCTCAATCTTAGCATAAAATAATTCACATATTGACTAAAAGTAACTAAAAGTGGATTTATATTACAAAGTTAAGCAATTTTATAATTTCAATTATAACATAATGTTTTTAGGTTGATTAACCAAAATTTATGTATAATAAAATTTCCAAAAAAAAATATAAGAATATACTATGAAAAAGTTTGTTGGGATAAACAATTAATAATATACAATAGTATTTAAGATACATGATAAAATCTTACTATAGTTATTTTTAATAATAACTACAATTTTAAAATATTAAATTTATTACAGTAAAATAGAAAGTACTTCAACCCAGAATAGGAACGTTAATGTTTTTTTGATTCATTTACTCTTTCTCAAAACAAAACCCTAAAGCCTTATTTGAATGATAATTTAACAATGATAGTACGATTTTTTCATGATTTTTTTTTCTATTTGTTTGTATTTTTAAACACATAATATAGTTTTTTTGTGGTTGAGTCATGGTTCTCAAAATCATAATTTTCTTTATTTTTTTAAACTAACGATTTGATGATTTTGATGGTTTGATAATTTTTTTTCTTTATACTCTTAATATTTTTTATTATTCATAACATTACATTTCTTTTTAATTTCTTATAACTGACACTTCTTCTTATATTCTTCTTCTTCTTTTCAAAATATTATGTATATATATATTTAATTATATCGATTATATATATATATTTATATATTTAATTATATATATTTTATTACATATATACATAAATTTATATATGTATATATGTATTTATATATTTAATTATTTATAAATACATATATATAATATATTTAAATATATATTTTATCATATATATATGTATTTATGTTTTTATTTATATATTATACATGTATATAATATTTTAATTATATATATATAATATATTTAATTGTATATATATCTTTCATTATATATGGCTTGTTTGATGCTACTTTGTTAACTTTTATTTTGTCCCCAATTTGATATTGCCACTTGCGGGATGTAACACCCCAAAAATAAATTTTTTTTATTTTTGAATATTGGAAACTTTTTTTTTGGATTTTATTTTATTTTATGATTAATTTATTTTGTAATAATTATGTGTTTAACTTAATTTAATTTAATTTAATAGAAATAAAATTAATAATAATGATAAAATATGATAAAATTATTTTTGGGATTTAATTGAAATTGATTTTGGAGAAAATGGGTGAAAACTTGGATTCTGAGGGTGTTTTTGAAAAGAAAATCGGAAACCGGAAGTCAAAACGCAATTTAAAAAAGTTGTGTCACGTCAGCAGCCACGTCAGCAGCCCAGTCAGCGGCCCCGGCCAACCAAGACACGCTGCGTGGCAATGAACGCTGATGCGGGACAGGGCCACGTGGGTGATCCATGTGCGCGCGATCGGACGGCCCAAAGCTCACGCGTACGAACGGTCCAGATTCAATCAGGCACGGATGGCCCAGATCGCATCGCGATGGACGACCCAGATTTAATCCCAAATAAATCGCGATCGGACGGTCCAGATTAAATCTTGATGTACGGTTGAGATTAAAAGAAGAATGGTATAAATAACCTCATCCACACCCGACCACAAACCCTAGCCGCCAGTGCCTTGCCGGAGAAGAAGAACCAGACACCGGAGGAGCCAGCCGCCGCCACCCACCACCGCACCGGAAAATTTTCTCCCATTGGCTCGTTTTTGGATACTGAATCCGCCTATGACCAAATTGGTGCCAAACCACCGGTCATTCGGCCAAAAAACACCGCCGAAGTTCAGCGGTGCCGCCGCGGCTTCTCTCTGTTTTTGCCTCTGATGAGGCCCTTCCCGGTCTCCGTTTGATACAATTTTTATACCACTGTGATCACCGTCCTTTTCTCTACAGGTTGACTAGAGCAAAACATCAAAACGCACCGGAGTAGCTACCGCACCCGAGAGCACCGCCGCCGGTAAGTCTCAGTTTTTTGTGATTTTTTGGCCCACTGAGGGCCCTATGGTTGTTTTATCGCAGCGACCAATGCAAGTTTGGCCGAATTCAGCTGAAAACGCCTAACCCGAGGCGGATCACAGCCGCAAGCGGCGGTGCCGTCGCCGGAGCACGGCGGAGCCGCCGTGCCGGAATTCTGATATTGGCCGAAAGGGGCTCTAAGTCTGATTTGGGACTTTTTGGGATACGTGCAGGTACTGGTAGTGCGTTTCAATTTCCCGAAAAAAATTCAGAGAATTTAGGGACAGCCCGTAGGTGCATTGTAGAGCCGATTTTAGACCCCGAAACAAGTAAGGATCTCTCACCCTACCTCCTATCACGGCATTAAAGCTTAATAAATAATTAAACGGTATTTTGTGACTTTATAGATATGTACAATTGATTGAGGTTGCCAATGAAGCCCGAATCTGATACATTGTTGGTCAGTTGTTGTTTGATCTATTTTTCAGTATTAAATGCAGTATGATATTTGATGTATTTATTTTATGGTCTCGTATGCATGAATCATAGTTTCTTTTATTATGGTTTGTATTATGGTGAACCCGATACTGTGTTGTCTTGTTTGGTGTCAATTACTGGTTTACATATTTGTGTATGATTGGATGATTGAGACCAAGAAAAACGGTAAAAAAGTTATGTGAATTGATATGGATAATGTGGATGGGCTGACTAGATATCCTGGGAAATGGTGGACGGACCGGGTCCGTAGGGAACCCTACCAAGAACGTGGTCTCTCATACCGGACGGGGTATGGAGACCTTATGTGTTTTGGCACCCATACCGGATGGGGTATGGGGACAGCCCGTTTCACCCTCATACTGGACGGGGTATTGAGGTTTATGGTTTTGGCGCCCATACCGGACGGGGTATGGGGACGGCCCTGAAATCAGGTTATTAATGTTAATGGTTCACGTGTAGCGGGGACCCCTATGGATCCCCATAGATACTAGTAGGCTGGTAAAAGAGGAAATTTATTGTCTGATTATTGAAGTGCCAAAGTATGATATGTGTTCTGTTACAAAGTCGATATGATTTTATGATGGTTATAATGTTATTGTTTTCATATGCTATTTTCATGAATCTCACCGAGGTAAGTGGACAGTAAAGATTTTTATGTTAATAAATGAGTTTGTTATAAATTATACTCCATTGGTTGTTTTTGTTTTCTACCGACCTTTACTCTTGTGGCAGTGAGATAGTGTGATGTCTTTACTGGGCTAGTGTAACTCATTCCTTATGTAACCATTTCAGATCAGGAAGACGGAGTTCCCGAGCCCGTTCCGCAGGAAGACGGCGAGTTAGACGCCTAAAGACTTTATAGTTCTATTTATAGTTTTTATTTCGAGTATCTCTTTTAATTAGCTTATTCTTTTACGTTTTGAGTACATTTTTAGTTATTGTGTAAGAGATGTTAATCAAAAATTTTATTACGCTTCCGCATTGAAGATTTTTAATACATACATCTTAATTTAAATTCCGGGACCGTTACACGGAAAGACATAAATCTAAGTATTTTATTCTGTCTTGTAGATTACATCAACGTGACAGTTTCTTATATTTGAAAATTTCAGCTTTGGCTAATAAACTCTGGCGAGCAGAAGAAAATGCCAACAGTTAATGTTCTCCATTTCTTTCCATCCGGTAAGATCATTCTTGTGTTCGATGGAGCATTGAATTTATCAGAAGTGATGTACTGAAATTAAACCTGCACTGCGTTGGCAAATAATGGAAACTATTACCGGTAGTAGCAATTTTAATAATTTTAAGCTTTAAATACATTTTGAAATATAAAATTGAAGACTATCTTAAAGAAATTGTGAAAGATACACACAATTAAAAAATCATGTTAGTATTATTGGTATTTTTGTTAATTTTGTTGTTTTCTTATATTAATTTCTCAGTGATTTCTCAAGGGTTTGCTTGAGTCCCCAGAGAAAACAAGGATATGAATGAATGAGAACTACCAACTTGACACATTTCTTTCAAGGATTTAGAAGCATCAAAAAGTCTAAATCAGTTTGACTTTGAATTTTAAATTTGCCAATTGATATCTCTAATAATAGAATTATACTTAATTATAATAGAATTATAAGAGAAATTAAGGACTTATGTAACACCCAACTAAAATTCTATTTTCTTTTAATTATTATTATTTTTTATATAAATATAATTATTTATTTATTTAATTTATTTTATTTTATTTTATTTTAATGAAAAAAATGGGTAAAAATTTATTATGGATTAAATTGAAAATAATTTTAGGAAAAAGAGGTAAAAACTTGGATTCTGGAGGTATTTTTAAAAGAAAAATCGGAAACTGAAGGTTAAAACGCAATTTAAAAAAATTGCACTACGTCAGACTCCCGGTCAACAGCCCTGACCGACGAAGCCTC